GAATTCTCTCGCCCTCCCGCGCTTCTGACTGTACCCCAGTGCTTGTATAAATAAATAAAAATAAATGTTTAAAAAAAAAAAAAAAACACTTCAATGATGCCCATAAAACAGACGAATGTATCACACAGAAACAGTGGAATAATACTCAGCAATCAAAAAAGATACTCTCAAGTCATTTGTGGCAACATGAATGGGGCTGGGATTATACTAAGCAAAACAAGTCAGAAGGAAAAACACAAATACCCAATGGTATCACTTATATTGGTACATAGAGAAACCAAAGGGTCAAATAAATTTAAACATAAAAACAAACCCCTGAAAGCTGACTACAGAACTAAGACACCCAGAGAAGGACACATTAAGAAAATGAATAGATGGGCCTCCCTGGTGGTGCAAGGGGTTAAGATGCAACCTATGAAGCAATCCACAGCCACTGCAGCATGAATTCGATCCCTAGCCAGGGAGCTACCCACATGGCTCAGCAGACCTCTCCTGACTCACCCACTGCTCACCTCAGCAGTGTATTTCAGTCAATCAGCCTGTTCTATTCCCCACTCTGACTCTAGTGAATCCTCTCATCTCCCATACCTCTGGCCTATATCCTAGTTCTTGTATGCATAAATAAATAAATCTTTGAAAAAAAAAAAAAAAGAAATGCACAGAATGAGAGAAAAATTTTGTGACTTGTGAGTCTGAAAAGGTACTTGTACCTTGACTATATAAAGAACTCCTACAACTCAATAGCAAAGAGACAACCCAATTAAAAAACAAGTAAAGGATCTGAATAGAAATTTATCCAAGGAAGATAAGCAAATAACCAATAAGCAAAGATGCTCAAAATTGTTGTCAGGGCAATGTGACTCAAAATCACAGTAAGATGCCAATGAACATCTATTTGGTGGTTATAACTTAAAAGACAGATAAATAACAAATAGTGACAAGGAAGTACAAAAGTTGAAGCCCTTATACTTGCTGGTGGGATGTAAAAATAGTGCAGTCACTTCGGAAAACAGCACACCAGTTACTCAAAAGGTTAAACACTGAGTTATCATATGACCAAAAATTTGACTCCAAGATTTCAATCCAAGAGAACTTAGAACATACATCAACACAGAAACATGTACATAAATGTTCAGAGCGGCATCATGTATTTAACAGTCATAAGTGGAAACAAGTCAAAAAGGCAATTAAAAAGATATTCTGATACCTGCTGCCACATCATGAACCTGGGAAATACTATGCTAAGTAAAAGAAGCTAGTCACAAAAGCCCATGTACTGTAGGATTCTATTTACATGAAATGTCCAGAATTGCAAATTCATAGAGACAAAAAGTAGATTACAGGATGTTTAGGGGTGGATGATGTGGATATAATGTGGGAAAACTGGGGGAAATGAGGAGAGGAGTGACTACTAATGGATACTAAGTTTCTTTTTGGGTTGATGAAAATATTCTAAAACCAACTGGGGTGATGGGTGCACAACTCTGATATACAAAAACCAATGAACTGTATACTCTAAATGGTTAATTATGGTGATATATGTGAATTATGTCTCAATAAAGTTGGGGTTTATGAGCCTCCCTGGTGGCGCAGGTGGTTGGGCGCAGCACTGTGAAGCTGTCCACAGCCTCTGCAGAGCCGTTTCGATCCCCATCGGCCTCGGAGCAACCCACATGGCGAGTAGACCTCTCCTGTCTCGCCCACTGCTCCCCTCTGCAGTGTGTTTCATCAGTCTGCCTGTTCTGTTGCCTGCTCTGTCTCTGGTGAATCCTCTCACCCTCCCGTGCATCTGGCCTGTAGCCCGGTTCTTGTATAAATAAATCTTTAAAAAAACAAAAAAAGTTGGGCTTTATTAGTCTTCTTAAAGTTAGTATTTACTTTCACTTTTTAAAAGTAATAGTATTTTTTGAAGTTAATATTTACTTTTAATATTTACTTCCAATTTTAAATATTATTATTGTAATATTTATTTTGTCAGGGTTTCTTTTCCTCACCCTCTTTCACGATACCCTCAAGTGAAGAGAACTAGATTTTTAAACAGTAGATTTTCTTCCAAATTTTATAAAGGAAAATAATGCACAGCAAACAAAAGCACAACACACCATAAATGCTTTTTAAATACGTTAGAAAGACTGGTTTCCAAATATCCTTGATAAATATATACCACTACTTTTCTAAATAGAATAAAAATGTTGGGCCTCCCCTGGTGGCTCAGCGGTTGAGCGCTGGGCTGCGAAGCTGCCCACAGCCTCTACAGCGCTGGTTGGATCCCCGGCTGCCAGGCGAGGGTCCCACATGGCGTGCAGACCTCTCCTGCCGCCCGCTGCTCCCCTCAGCTGTGTGCTTTGGTCCTTCTGCCTGTTCTGCTCCCTGCTCTGGCAAATTCTCTCACCCTCCTGCGCTTCTGACTGTACCCAGTGCTTGTATAAATAAATAAATAAATCTTTAAAAAAAATAAAAATAAAAATGTTATCTGATAAAATGATAAAAGTCCTATAAACTGAGACCCTCCTTCTTCACTGCTGGCCATTCTTGTTAATGTACCCTGCTCATGATAAGGCTCAGGATTTAGGATTACATAAATACCAGACTGTGGGATTTGAAGATCAATAAAGAAAAATTTAGGGGCCTCCCCTGGTAGCGCATCGGTTGAGTGCTGGGCTACAAAGCTGCCTACAGCCTTTGCAGTGCCAGTTCGATTCCCGGCCGGCCAGGGTCCCACGTGGCGCGACAGACCTCTCCTGCTGCGCCCACTGCTCCCCTCAGCAGTGTATTTTGTCACTCTGCCTGTTCTGTTCCCTGCTCTGGCTCTGGTGAATTCTCTCACCCTCCCACGCTTCTGAATGTACCCAGTGCTTGTATAAATAAATAAATCTTTAAAAAAAAAAAAATTTGGAGTGGAACCAAAAAAAAATTTGAAAGAGGTTCCCTTAATATCAGGCAGGAGACAATGTGCAAAAGGTAAGTGGGTGAAGGAAACTTTTATATTCTAAAGTTTTAAGTCGTAAGACTTTGACAGACTGCTATCAATATCTCCAAAAAAGATGACATTTTTATTCATTTCTCTTTATAGCTCTGGTAAATTTTTTTAAGATTTTATTTATTTTTGCGTGAAAGAACCCTTGATGCAGGCCATGGGTGCAGGGTGAGAATATTTACCAGCCAAAGAATGGGGAGCAGAATAAGCAGATCTTCTGAAATACACTGCTGAGGGGAGCAGTGGGCAAGACAGAAGAGGTCTGCTGTGCCATGTGGGTTAGCTCCCTCACCAGGGATCAAACTCAGGCCATACCAGAGGGCCTTGTAGGTGGCAGCACTGAGCCTTAACCCCTAGGCCAGCAGGGAGGCCCATCTCTGGTAATTTTTGTTTACATTTGGACGTTATGTTATTTAGTCTTAGGTTCAGGTTTATTATATGTCCCAGGTGAATTGTTCCTTGTATCACTATTTAAGTTTCTCTTTCAGCTCTCTTGCAATTTGTATTTCCAAACAAGTTAGTATTGATCAGAGAAGTAGAACCAATGTGAATAGCAAGAACAAAGAGTTATTGTAGGGATGTTGACAGAAATTGTGGGATCTGGTTAAGCAGTTTATATAGAACCGTTACTTCTGCGTCAGTGCTAGGACAGAAGACAGAGGGTAGAAATCAGGAAGGAAACAAGGATGTGAAAGGGAAGAGCAAGGAAAAACTCATTTCTCTCATTAACTTCAATGACTTAAGCAACCTGTAGTATAAGCTGGCCCCCTTCACAAAGAGCCCACATACCTGACTCAGAATTTGGAGAAGCTGAAGGACGGGGGTGGTGGCTGGTGGAGATGGAGGTGGGGCTACTACCTAAGGCCAAGTGATGATGTGGATAAACTGCAACAGAGCTGATCCTACACCCCCATTCTGAGCACAAACACAACTCCTTCAATTCCACCTCACAACACTTGTGCACATTTCTCTTGTGGCCAGCCTAACCTGGAGACAAACTTCCAGCTCGCCTGTGTTGATGTAATACAAAGCCACCACAATTTGTATGGATATTTCTTCCTTGTCTTTAATTTTATTCTTTCTGTATCACTGTAGGGGCAGGAAGGGAACAGGGCAGGTTTTCTATGACCGAGCAGATGGGTGAAGGAGTCCTAGAGCCCTCGGTGGCTTTTGCAGGCTTTCATTGGGATTTACCAGGTACACGGCAGGCAGGGGTGCTGGGGAGTTGGGAGGCTGGCAGGCTCCCAGCCCCCAGCAAGTCTTCACTCTCTCTGAGCTCTCCGATGTTCTCTTGTGGCCTCTGCTTCTCTTTCGTTCTGTTGTTCCACTCTCTTCGCTCAGCTCTCTTGCTCTTCTCCTGGCGTCCCCATGACACTGCCCTTATAAGCCCAGTCTCTCAGCTCAGGTGTGTCCACTTACGTATGCCCACATCCTACTGCAGGTGCCCGCCATGAGGCATACATTCAGGACCACAGGGATCCATCATCAATCCTGATGGTGGGAGGGCAGAAAAGCCTGATACTTTTTACCTTACACTACAATCACTATGTTTTAGGTATGTCTTGTAAATAGTTGGTTATTTTTTTCATCCCATCTAGATTGTCCTTCAACTGTCATGTTTCATCTATTGGGATTTGTAATTTTCATAATTTAAGAAACATCTTTTAAAACATAAAGCAGGGCCTCCCTGGTGGCGCAGCGGTTGAACGCTAGGTTGCAAAGCTGCCCACAGCCTCTGCAGCGCTGGTTCGATCCCCAGCCGCCGGCGAGGGTTCCACATGGCGCGACAGACCTCTCCTGCTGCCCGCTGCTCCCCTCAGCAGTGTACTTCATCAGTCCGCCTGCTCTGCTCTCCGCTCTGACTCTGGTGAATTCTCTCACCCACCCTCCCACGCTTCTGACTGTACCCAATGCTTACATAAATAAATAAATCTTGGGAAAAAAAAAAAAAGCAATATCTGTACAGAATATATATGCATGATCTGCATTTCTGAAATATTTTAACATATAACTTGTCACTTACCACTTCTCCAGCACAGGCAGCCAACATATGCTTCACAGGCATCAAATATGAAGATGAATCGGTATGCAAAAAACATTTCACATATTCATAGGTGATAAAAAAGGCAGCAGCTGAAATTTAAAACAAGCCAGACTTTCATAAGATTTAAATATATTTTCAAACTGTTAAGAAATTTGTTCTAAAAAGTTACAACCCTATTAAATTATGCAATAACAGATAAAGATAATAGTTAAACACACTCACCCCACTCCTTTACCCTTGCAGTATATACTATTATATGCCTGACCCTGGAATTAAAAAATACAGAGGACTTATCCCTCTCCTGAAGAAGCCTAACAGCTAACCTAGCATTTACCAATTGTACTGAAAAGTCTCCTAACATTTTTTAAGTGAGCTTTCCAGAAAAGAATGAATTTCTGTGATCCAAAATATCTTTATATATGGTCGTGAAACAATCAGCTATGTGGATTTATAGTGTTAAAATTGCAAGCATATACTTTAACCAATAGAATGTCTATTCCATAATGTTTTATTGCTGTTATTCAAAATAACTATTGCCATCTTATGCTGTATTAACTCACCTTTAATCAAGGCAACAACCATTTCATTAAAACTGGAACTCAAAATCTCTAAAAAACTATCCCATCACCATGAACTCATCTTAGCCTATGAGCCTAAGATTGCCATCTACTGTTAATCAAAAGATGTTTATCACTTCCATCAAAGATAAATTAGTTACAAATTCATCATTTGAAGGACATCTGAACATGTCACAGTGACTGAAACACTCAGAAAAAGAGCTTGAGGGTGAAAATCAGTTCTCCATAAGACTGGAAACATTCCTTGGATTGCCAGCAAACAGCAGGCTAAAAGAAAGCATTTTGTCTATGGAAAAGAGATGACCAATACAAGCAGCTTTATGTAGTTAACACAGGTCCTGCTCCCATGTGTGGTTCTAATGAGGTTTATCCTACTTTGGCGCACTGGCTAAATCTACAGCTAGATTCTCTCCAGCTGCATTCAGCTACAGGTTCCACCTGCTATATATTCTCTTGTCCCACCTACTTACACCCCCAGGGAAAAAGGGAGACAGTATTAAAGTTTCTAGGTTTTCATGGTTAACCACCTCAGCCTGGTCTGACTTTGCTGCTTTTGTGACAGACCAAGTTCCTCTACAAACACAAACCCTAAAACTCTCCTGGTGACACCCAAGAAAACTCCTGCTAATTAGAAATGAAGTCACATGAGGCCACCTTGGTGGTGCAAAGGGTTAAGTCTCAGCAATATCAAGCTATCAGCAGCCACTACAGCACAAATTTGATCCCAGCCATGGAGCTGAAACACATGGTGCTGCTGACCTCTCCTGTCTCGCCTGCTGCTCCCCTCAGCAGTGTATTTCAATGGAGCTACCTGTTCTGCTCCCCACTCTGTCTCTGGTGAATCCTCTCATAATCTGCACCTAAACCCCCATTCTTGCATGCATAAATAAAAATAAATCTTAAAGAAATGACGGCACAGTAAGGTTTCAAGGGAGACTACAAAAATGTTACAACAGGAGAGATTGGGATAGCTGAGACCTACAGTCTCTCATAACTCTTTAAAAAGCTATGTATTTTCAACATGACAGAGTAAACATCCAGAAAAAAAGGTCTTTTCATCTCTTTCGACCTTCTGTCCCCTCTATCCCCCTCCATCATCACCCCTGCGGAACAGATTTTCAATAAAGTCTATAGCCACTGAATGTAACGCTGATGTACTGTACTCACACTAGACAACCAGTTGCAAAAGAAAATAACAAAGGTACCACATAGAAAATTTTAACGCACCAACAATTTGACGATCTAGCCAAATCAAAATTACCGCCCTTTCACTAAAGTTCTTTGGATGGCAAAAGTGAAGAGCATGGCAAGAAATACACCACTTCCTCACACATAAAAATTGAAACCACATTCTATATGTGAACTCCTGCTGGCAAGAATCTAAATGAGTCTCGTAAGCATCACATAGCATCTCCAGACTATCACTGACCCTGCATCTCCCCAACAACAGTTCTTATGTGCAATGTGTGCGAGGAAAAGCTCTTCAGAAGGACGGAGATGCCAACTGAAGACCAAAGGACAGGGAATTGGCACACTTGAAACCAAGTAAATCAGCAACCTGAGAGAGACACAGGCTTCTGTACTTGGAGCCTCTCAGATAATCAGGTGATTGCACAAAGCTATGGTTGGCAAAGAGTAGCTACAAAATAACAACCAGCTACAATCAATTATGAAAAATTCAAGGTAACCTCAAGTTTGCTGTTCTAAAGATTGCTAGGGGAGAGGAAAGGAGAGAAACAAGAAGACGAAAACAGGGCCTCCCTGGTGGTGCAAGGGGTTAAGCACTGCATTATGAAGCAATCCACAGCCTCTGCAGCATGAGTTCGATCCCAGCCGGCCAGAGAGAAGCCCACATGGCGAATCACACCTCTCCTGACTCGCCCACTGCTCCCCTCAGCAGTGTGTTTCAGTCAGTCTGCCTGTTCTGTTTCCTACTCTGTCTCTGGTGAATCCTCTCATTCCCCCGCATCTCTGGCCTGTACCCCGGTTCTTGTATTCATAAATAAATAAAATCTTTAAAAAACAAAAATAAAAAAACAATAAGACCAAAACACCATTTCTCTGCATGCCGTCTTTATATGAATGCTGAGCTCAAAGATGGACATTTAAATGTCAAATCAACCTGAGTTTCTCATGAATTATCCTAAGAAAAAAGGAAATCTAACTGTAGAATTTAAGAATTTACTAAAGTAGTGGTTTTATCTGCTTTTCATCACCACTCAAAACATAAGTAAATAATTAAAATAAGGATCTAAAACTGGTGATACCTAGGCAAAGTCCAGACCAATTAAGCCTCCAGGGGTGATACCAGTATCTGTACTTTTTAAAGAGACCTAAAAGATTCAACATGTGGGCAAGCTTAAGAAGCACTGCTCTATGGCATCACAAAGTTATAAAAACACTATAAGGATTTTAACAATAAAAACCATTTATAAAGATTTCTCATTTTTTCCTACTGCAAATACAGTGGAATGAGACCTACAGCACTAGCCAATTCAAAATTAATGACTTAATAAATACAAAACAAATTAGGAAGATAAGTTACTATACACAAAGCCTTTGGTTTTATAGCAGTGAGAATATCAATATAATTTTTACCATTAGGAAAGGATCCAATAGCAGTAGAAGGAACACCAGCATATATTCCACGAAAACCACCGGCCTTGTTAAATCCTTGGGGACTCTGCAGCCTGGTTTTAATGGTATCCAGAGGAAATAATATCAAATCAACAGAGACACCTGCTACCCCACCAGCCTTTAAAAAAGAAAAAAAAAAGGGAAAAAAGGTTACAAAAACATACGCCCTCCACTGTCTGGGGGTAGGGATAAGAAGGTAATCTTGAAGGCATATTTCTCATACCCATCAGTCCACTGACTACTTTGACATAGGCAAAGGAACTTCTACCTAAATCTAGAGGCTTTTCTGGGGAAATAACAATTATCATTTCTTTATTTATAAATTATAAATTTTTATTGTTTTTGTAAATGAATTTTAATTTTATACTTTCACCTGGTGCAAAAAAGTAAACAAGCAAACAAAACCCAGGAAAGTGTTCAAAGTCTCCTTCCCGGTTCCTGAGAAGTCAGGTAAACGCTTTCTTATTATATATATCCTTACAAAGTTACTTTAGGCATATATAAGAAATATGAATATGTAGTTTATTTTCCTTTTATCTTTTAAAATAAGGAGTATGCACTATGCATGGTGCTACACCTTATTTTTTTACATTTAATTTATCTCAGAGATCGTTCCATGTTGTTTGAGTGAATCTGCATTGAGACTTTTTGGAGACTTGCATTCTGAAACAGGTAATGATCCTTGTGAATCTAGACTTGTATTTGGACAATCATATATCCAGGAATTCTGACAGTATTATCTCTGCATATATTTGAATATTCTGTAATAACTCTTAAATTGAATGAATTTTTTTTTAAAAAAACAAAGAGCTAAATTCCTAGAGGACATTATATCACAGCCTTACTTAGTCACCTTCCAAGAGACACTATGTTGCTTGCAGAGCTGTACTTTAAGTTTGTAACTCATGATTACAGTGAAACAAACATGTAGAATAATTTTAAACTGGCTACCTCTCAGTCAAAGCCAAAAGAAATTCAGAATTTTATGAACTCAAAGACACTGTGAAAGAAAAGGTCAATACATAAGATTTAAAGGCATCATTTAAAGATGTGAATGAACCAGTCTTCTACTAGCAGAGGGAAGAATTATAAACAGGAAATTCTCAATGATTTCCTGCATAGCAGTTTTTCAAATGAATTGGAAATTTTTCCTGTCTTTTGAATTTTGAACCACATTTATATAACCTATTCAGAGAGGTAAAATACACATTAAAAACTATATAGTCCATGGAATAGAGAAACAAAAGTGGCATTCAAATACATAGGCAAAGTTCAAAATAATCAGTCATTTCCCCCCTTTGGGTTTACAAAATGCTCAGTGAGTACAAATTAAGTCCCAATCAAATACTTGGCTCTACTTACCACTCACCATAAAACCACCGCAAGAGTTCACTATAAAAAAGAAATTACTCTTCAGGATAAAACCAATAATGCCTATCTTTCAATTAACTAGTATTGGTAAATTAAAAACTAGTTTACACTAGAAAAGTATATGAGCATAAATGTTAATATCCTATACAATCAGTCTGACAGACATGACAGACCCTCAAAGATCATGAAGTCTACTCTGTGAATTAAAGAAAACAGATGTGCCAGGAGAAAAATCACTAGTGGTAATTAGAGAATGACAAATAACATGGTATTTCTTTCTGAATATAAAGGTGGGCTTTACTAAGTTATGGGAAAAGGTTCAGGTGATGAAGTTGTTTCTTTTTTTTTTAAGGTCAACCATTTTCAACATTGTTCTCACTTTTTAGAAGAGAGTGGGGAAATGGTGAGAGACAAAGACAAAAGGGAATACAATTGACTACAGTGGTGGATTAAGGATAGACTGGTTTGAGTATACTCTGGTGGCAATACCGATGGAGGGGATCCTACACTTCCAAAATACTAATAATGTAAGCCAATGTTACCACAATTAAAAAAAAAAAAGTTGTTATGACTCAAAGAAAATAAGCATTCCATTTTCTATAAAAATGAAAACTAATTTAATAAAATTCAGTATCTATATAAAATATTTTGCCCACCTCTTCATTTCTCAAAACAAGAAGAAATCTAAAATCCTAGTAAGACTAGCCAATATGACTGGATTCTTTAAAAACATGCTGCACTTCATTCTAACTAATGATCTTGTTAATCTTAGGAGGTTTAGAGAGATGCTTGCTATCTACTGCCAAATTTTAATCAATAAGTTACTCTTTTTATCTATTGGTTACTTTGCATGCATTGATTCTCTAACCCTCCATCAGGGTTCCTATCTGGTGAGAATAAAATGACCAGATTCAATCTATTAATATAATAACACATGAGTCAAAAGTTACTAATTGCTTTTGTGGATTTCAGACTAACTCACATGTCATTTAAATTCATGAGACTGGGGGGAAAAACAGATAAAAGAGAATAGGGAAAAGAATAAGAGCACATATATGGCCACTAAGCACCTTATTTAATGCTGAAACAAAAGCTTTAAGGAATGCTTGTAATTATACATAAATTTGACAAAGTATTCAAACATACAGGAAAAGTTTGAGTGTGCTAATATCAACTGAATAAGAAACCACCAAATTCTTTCATTCTTCAAGGTGAAAAACTTTTATTTATCATTTATCGAAGGGTTATCAGGATAATGATTTGTCAAAAGATTTACAGCAACTTCCACTGACAGGACCTAGATAAAATCCAAAAAACTAGAACACTACACCTAGATAACCTGCAAGTCTAATTACAGCTAACAATTTACTGAGACCTTGATATCATATAAATGATAAAAAATACATCTCCACCTTCATAGAATAAATGTAAAAAGTGCTAGCAGGTGGTAGAAATGAAGCCTCTTGCCATTCTGATCTCCCATTTCATCCAATTCATGTGATCTCCCTCACATCTAGGATTTTCTAAAGATACTTCTCAATCCCCCAGGCTAGGTTTAAAATCAAGATCTTGTTTCTACCTGCTGATTACAATTTTAATCATTCAGTTGAGCATCTAGTCATCTAGTCAGTATCAATGAGTCCCACTAGACTGAAAGAGACACACAATACGCTCCCAGAACCAGTACATAGCAGATGCGACATAAATATTTGAAGAATGCATATATTACTGACTATAGTAAAGGGCAGCAATTTATATTTTAGAATATACTACACATCAACATTTAAAAGACACATTAGGGGCCTCCCTGGTGGCACAAGGGGTTAAGACGCAACCTATGAAGCTATTTGCAGCCACTGCAGCATAGTATGATCCTCCGCCAGGGAGCAACCCAAATGGCGCAGCAGACCTCTCCTGACTCGCCCACTCCTCCCCTCAGCAGTGTATTTCAGCCAGTCTGCCTATTCTGCTCCCCACTCTGTCTCTGGTGAATCCTCTCACCACCACCCCCCAACCTCTGGCCTGTACCCCAGTCTTGTATGCATAAATAAATAAATCTTTTTCAAAAAATAAAAGGTACATTACATTTTTAAAAGTTATAAGACAGGACCAAAGGTTTGATCCCAAGAGGATCATCTAACAGTTAACCAGAGGGACACTACACCCGAGTCCTGTGGCTTGGGGCAAAATTGGAACACCCCCTGAACATCAGAGACCAACACCAGACAGCAACAGAGGAAACAGAACACATTTCACTGAACAAGAAGTGAGTGGAAACTAACGGATGATGCAGTCTAGGGGTGGGGAGGATACAAGGGCAGGGATGTCAGCTTGGGGCCCTGGGAAGGGAAAAACTAAACAGTTTGGAGGTCTATACCCTTTACTGAAGCGAAACAGGCCAATCTCTGGTAAAAAAGAACAGAGAATACACTGGACTGCAGCTCCCTTTCCTCACCAGTCAAGACTGCACTGCCCTCAGGAAGTGCATCGCTGCGCCCAGTCTGCAGTCACAGGTACAGAACACTGGAGAGAAGGGATGTCCATGGTACCACACGCACAATCAGTTGTGCCCTCCCCATCCCCCAATACATTTGCACCAGTGGATGGTGCAAATCATCCAGGAACTCACTCAACTGAAGTCAGACCAAGCAGTGCATGGCAAGAAAAATACAGCTTCAGCCTAAAAAACTTAAAAAATCTTAGAGTTCAAATTTCCTTATGACTGTTGGATTTGAACATAGAGGTTAATTTTTAAAAAGCAGAATGCAAAATTATGACTATATATACTAGCTATGAAAAAAAGTGATGTTTTATCACCATTTACAACATCATTATTACCTTTTTTTTTTATTTTTGTAAACCCATGAGGGAAGGAACCAGAGCTCTCAGGCACTCTTCCATGGAAGAACCGAAGCAAAGGCTAACAAATATGTCTGGTTAAACAGGTAAGAGATACCTGACTTGTAGAATTGGAAAAAACTGTGGGCACAACTTTTATCTTTCCTCTATTTGTCATTTCACTAATGTTCTCAAATTCTGTCTGTATCGCAAAAAATATATATATAATATTTAAGTTACACATTTCTACACATAACATTATGGAAGTGGTAACAAAAGCATATTAACTAGTCATGTACAGCTAAATTATTAATTTTTCAATTTCCAAATATCCCCTCTTAAACTGAAAGGAAAATGAGAAAGGAAAGGTAATACCATCTCCCAGCATTTGAGATGCAAAATAAATGCCTCCACCACAGCAGCAGTTCTTGACTGTGCTGCTAGTTGATCAGTGGTCTCCAACGATGCCCTGTATCTCAACTGATCCAAATAAAGAATATACTGTGTCCAAGTGACTGCCTGCACAACAACAACAAAAGGGGCAAAAAGGAAAGCGTGCCCACTGATTTACTCACCAAAAGGAAGTAAATGCCACAAATCAACCTTGAGAACATGAAGCCTAATTTTGAGTTCCTTACAGATTTAGAAATAATGCCTCATCATCAAATAATTACTTCCTTTACTACAGAATAAAGGCCAGGAGGACACCTTCCAGAAAAGAAAGATAGAGGGCAAAACAGAAAACAAAGAATAGATAAAATAAAGATATGTCCAAAACTTCATGTTTTTTCTTCTGTTTTGTCACCCCACTTAAGATACCCTGGCAGAACCCATACCATTCCCCTCACGATCCCTTCTGCCAGGGTTCTCAGGACAGTCAGTAAGACAATATGAGTATTATGAAAAAGCATTTTTTATTTTAGGTATGGCCACCAGAGTGCACCCACCACAAAAAAGCTTTTTCAGGATCACCTCACGAAAGGCAAAAAAGTCTACCCATTTTGAAAAACCCAGCTCTCCTGCCTGCCTATGACTGTGCAGGTGCCCCTCTTTATCTCTCCTTTTCCTAATAAATCTGTCCTTTTAAAATGTTAAAAAAAAAAAAAGGACCCACTTTGTACACTATTGACATGCAGCAATTTCAGGTGACCACAATTTATACAAATCTTTCAATACCATGGTTCAAACTTCAGTTCACCAAGATGACACTTTACCAAAATAGAGAACTGAGAAACTGGCCAACAAAAAATGAACTTACAGCAAAAAAGGAAAAGTAGTAACACTGAAAGTGAAATTTAAATCGAACATATATATAGCTTGGCCGTGGGTACCTGGACACTTCTTCCTTGAGCATCTCCAGATATACAGCCAGAGCGCTTCGTGAAGGTGAGCTTATCAATATTAAAGAGAGGAAAGTGATTGTGACAAAAAGAATGAAGATGTCCCAGAAATTGTGCCAGCAAACACTTTCACATTAAAGGAACAAAAACATTTCACATAATTGAAAATACCCAAGATAAAATATTGGAAATAGAGCCAAACTTAAAAAGCAGTATTGCACTTCACTATGGCATAAAAAAGGATACTTGATCTGTAAATTTTAAGACTGAAAGACAAATACTATTTAAATTACTTGTGATAGTTTTTACAAAGAAACTGACTCTTCATGTTTCTAATGTTTTAAATTAAATGTACTAAACGTAGATTTACTCCTTCTATTTTCCTGTGTTTATAACAGACAGTAAGAAAGTTTGAAACATACTGATGAGCACTTCAAAGATTATGGAATAATCATAAGTTTTCTCATCAGTTAAGACCATTTTGGGGCCTCCCCGGTGGCGCAGCGGTTGAGTGCTGGGTTGCGAAGCTGCCCGCAGCCTCTGCAGCGCCGGTTGGATCCCCAGCTGCTCCCCGGCCACCAGGTGAGGGTCCCGCATGGCGCACAGACCTCTCCTGCCGCCCACTGCTCCCCTGAGCAGTGTGCTTCGGTCCTTCTGCCTGCTCTGCTCCCCGCTCTGGTGAATTCTCTCACCCTCCCACGCTTCTGACTGTACCCAGTGCTTATATAAATAAATAAATAAATCTTAAAAAAAAAAAAAAAAGACCATTTTGCATGACTTCTCCTTGAACATTCATGCAGTCTAACACTATGATGCAAAGTGAGGACTTCACACTGCACAGCACCCACACTTTCCAAAATTCTTTCACCTGTATATTAGGACTGGTTAAAAGCTAAAACATCCACACAGCATGGCAGGTTTTTTTATTTATATAAGATATTAGATGAATAGATGAAACCCAAGGGTAGTGAAATGGCTAAATCACGAAGGGGAAAGAAGAGTCAGGCAGAAAGGAAAAGCCATGTGGTAAAGGGGGTACTATTTTTAAAAATCTAAACAACTTTTTATAATTTAAAAACTAGAAGGAAAAAAGGTAATGCCATCAAAATGTTTAGTTTATCTTAGAGAATTTCAATATATTTTTAATGACTGAAACAGCGTATATCATTTTAATGAGGCATGAACAAGTGTACATCTGCAGTATTTGGAGTTTGATCTCTTTAGCTCAGAAATATTTTTCATGTTATTATAGCACACATTCCTCACAAGCAGTATTTTTAATAGTCTCTGAATAGTCCATGAAATGGATCTATCATCATTTACCTAACCATGACTCTTTTTATTTTAATAATTTATTTATATATATTTTACATCATTGTTCTTTTTTTTTTTTACAGTGTTTACTTTCTTTTTTCAGGTGTAATCCCCATAGAATTTCCATGACAAATTCACCTGTGCACCATCACCATAGTCTCCTGTGCTCTTCCTGTCCTCATTTATTTCAAGTTTAAGTGGCTTTCTATTATCTTTGTGGAGTTCAGATTGCTAATATTAGTTCCAAATTAATTTACTGAAAGCACCAACCAGTCAAAGTACTCTTTGATGGGTTTGTTCGTAATAGCCTGCTCTTTGCTCCAAAATCAAAACTAACATCCCATGCCATTCACAGCAACGTGGATAGAACTAGAAGTGAAATAAGCCAGAAGGAAAAAGAAAAATATCGCATGGTTTCACTTACAGCAGGAATATAGGGGAACCCAATAAGACATCAGTTTAAAAACTGTAACAATACAAAACACAACAAAGCAAAAACGGACAATTATAAATCAGAGACATATTGCAGAGGAGAAGGAGGAAGATGAAGGGAGGGAGAGAGGGTGGGAGGAGCACAAGGGGGCTGTGGTGATGGTGTATTGGTGAAGGAAACTCTATGGGGACTACACCTGAGGGGGTGGGGGGGAGCAAATATTGTTGAAAAATGAACAATGATGAAATTTTAGAAATTAATATAAAAAAACTAATGTCCCACAGGGGCTCCCCACATTCCACTCTATAGCCCTTCAATCCTCATCATGAAGTTTTGGAAAGGGAATATTTAAATATTTGGTACACGCCAGGTTCTGTACCGCATGCCATTTTATTCTTAGAATCTGAGTTTTAAGATTTCAACAATCAAGGACTACCATTTATTCTTTCAGTCAATTCCAGGTGATATGCTACAAAGTACCAGACACTGGTAACACAGCATTATACAAAACGCAGTATTACACAAAACTATTAGTTTGAGAACTCCCTTAAAAATGCTCAGATTGCCTCCAATACAATCTCCAAGGGCTCTGTATCACAGTGCGGGGTAGACAGAGTGCACGGCAGATAAACCACTGCATGAATAAAATGATATGTCTTTAGGTAGAATGCAATCTGTCTTCCTTGAAATACCACCCAATGACCCTGATTTTACCCTCTGTAACTACTCTGTTACATACACACACAGTAACTCACACATAGAGTTAACAAATACATACTGTAGTGGCAGCAAGCACAGGACAGGTTCGAAAGGAGAGTCCTGGAGCCCTCAGTCGCTTTTTCAGGCTTTCATGCTCTTTCTATGCCAATTATTGCGGAGCAAGCCTGCAGGCTCACAAGGCAGAGAGGCGAGGGGACTAGAAGGCTGGCAGCCCTCTCAGCCCCTGGCAAATCTTTACTCTTTCTCTCTGAGCTCTCTCTAGCGTTCTCTTGTCCTTTAGTAGCCATTCTTCTAGCTAAGTGAGGGCGGTCTTATATCCCTGACCACTAGACTCAGGTGTGCACACTTGCACATGCGCACACATCCTTGCTCAGGTGTCCATAATCAGGCACACGTGTCCCAGATCCACGTGCCTTTTACGTTAACAAGATTGAGGCTGCAAGTAGTAGCCACTGAGGCCAATGGTGTAAAAGCCTGATCATCTTCATTTACCCTACACATTCTTTAGCAAAATAAAATTTAAAACCAATTTTTTGATGGTAACTCTGGCACTCACTTAGCTACAGTGCTAACTACTACAGTTGCTAATTTGAGAGATAGCATCAAGAAGCAGTTAAGGACAAGTGATCCCATGTTACACAGCCTGAATTAAAAACTGCACTCCAATTTACACACATGAAATAGATTACACTTAGTATGTGACTCTGGATAATTTATCTAATCTCCCTGTACCTCAATTTCCTCATTTGGAAAACTAGGATAAGAATTAATTTGAAGAATAAAAGATGCTCATGAACAGCTCACCCCAGTCCCTGGCACAGAAATGTTAAAGGTCAAAACTATTACTGTTATCTCACCAGCTAGATAGAACTCCTTGGAAGTGGTAATGTATTTCTTTGTATGTCTAAAACCTAGTTCATCCAAATCTAGACTTAAAACCATTACCCCACATAAATGTGACAGAGGCACCCCTTTCACATCTCCTAACACCCTGAAACTAGCTCTCATGTCAGTGATCCCAATGATCATTTTCCTATTCTTTCTCTAGCACCTGACCTTTGTGAGCAGGTCTATCTTGTTCACCTTGTTATCACCAACAGCTGCAACTACATTTGATAATTGAAGGAAGAAATTCCTCCAGGCCTCCATTTCCCCTGTAAGAAACTTTTTAAATATTATTTGCTCGTTGTCTGCCCTGCCAGCTCCTCAGTGACACAGGCACCCAAATCTCTGTGTTATTCACTGATGTCTCAAGTACCCCCTACTGGACTGCAAATAACAAGAGACTTTAAAATATTAATTAAAGAATTTTTTTGAACCTTGGTGTGTGTGTTTGATGTTAAAACATGTTGATTCTCGCAGTTTTCTTAGGAATTAAACACTACTGTCTTGTTGGCTCTGTTCAATATACACAAAGCCTAGAAGATTGGGAGCAGAATAAGCAGATTAATTATACATATACACTGAATGAATGAATGAATGAGTCATTTGCCGAGACTGAAGAAAGATACAGCAAAATGACAACCATAATCTTGGAAAAGATTTGAGTAAACGTTTTTGTTTTGTTACACATATTTCTTTAATTACTAAGTTGCCCTGAGCGTGGTTATAGTATATAATTAAAACTTCTCTTTTTCTTTACGTAAACCACCGTGTGGAAAAATATGAATCCAGTACAAACCCCTTCTCAAACCGTCTGGGTAGGAAAGACTTGGCCTTGACACCAGACTAGGCGGCGGCCTGGGAGACCCACTCTACCCCCCAGACCAGGAGGCGGGTGACCCGAGTACAGTCCAGGGCGCTGGCGCAAAGAAGCCCCTACGGGCTTCACTGAGGGACTCCCGCGCTCCAATCGCGTCACCCTACGCCGGTACTCACCACCAGAGAGGTCGTAAACCCAGGCCGATCCATAGCACCGCAGGTTACGTTCTGGCTATCGCTGGAGGCTTATCTGAGGCGTGTCACTGCTCCAAGTACTGGGCGCCGCCATCTTGGAGGCGGGCCTTGTAGCGCCCACACTTCCGTGAGCACGTGACGTCGACCACAACAACTACACGTGCGCCTGGGGAAGCAGCGCCCGCGGCAGCGCAGGGGAGAAGGGGCGGGGCTGGGGGCGTGGTCAAGTCGTGCGCGGCGACTCTTCCCCGCGTCCTTTTCCTGCAGTTACCTAGAGATTCTGCTGGAAGGAGAAACTCTCGCGAGCAAAGGAAGCAGAAGTCTGAAGCCCGCAAAGAGGACAAGGTGAAGCAAGTGTCAGCCCGGAAAAGGCACGGCTGTAGCGGAGGGAGCGGCCTTGGAGGCACAGGACTAGTTCCTGGGTTCAAGGCTTGTGGTTTCCAGCCGGTTCTTATTTTGTTTATTTCTCTCTTGGTTTTATCTGCACAAATATTATCAGGATGTCTATAAAATACACTCTCAGAAAATTATTAAAGATCTAGGAAATCGTCAAAAGTTTCCTTACTCAAACTAAAAGTTAACTCAAATTTCCCTTACTGGCAGCTCATATCCCTAAAATCAGGCACTAGTTCAACATATAAAAATAATCAGGATGAAATGTTGCTCAGCTAATCTTTAAATTCTCTGAGAAATATCGACGCTCTTTTGGATATGGAAATTACCCTAAAATCTGGAGACGTGTGCATTTACTGTCCTTCAGTTCAGGAAGCCTGTCACATTGAAATATAGCACGAAAGTTCCCTTGCTGTAATTGCTCCCCTCTAGTGAAGTGGTAACATATAACTGTAGGTCACCCCTGTGACACATACCTGACACAGATAATGACAGCAAATGATTTTTCTGTTACTGACCATGGTTGTATTCAAGGGCAAATTATTTTTTTTTTCTTTGTAGTACAGGAAATAATGGAAAAATAAAAATAAATGTGTTTTATAATCTTCCCTCCCAGTAGAGAAAATGTAAACAAAAATATCGCCATTAAGCCACATTCTAAAAGCTGAGCACGTATAAAAACATTATTCTTCAAATTACTTCCATCAGCAAGAACCAGCACATACCTATTGCATGTCCACAATGACCTTTTGAATTTATAAACAATCTTACCCACCCAACTTCATTTTTTCCATTATAGTTCCACAATTCTTATAATTTGCTAGGTTTACAAGAAGTCTGTCTCTAGTCTAATTTGTTTATTTGTCCTTGATAGCCAAACTATTACCTAATCCTTCAGACACTCTCTTCCTATCCTCTACTTTCTCTCCAAAACCCTTGGTTTAGACCTTCAGCAATCATAAATTACTGAACCATTCATAAAAACCTTCTCCTAGCCCTATATTGGGACATTTTCTGGACAATTGTGAATAGGTAAAAGAAATTGCAACCATTTTATGTCAAGCCCTATGTAGATGACTGGCCATTCCCTATATGTCACTTATCCAAACTGTGACGTTGTGACTTAGGTATTATAATTGGGTCTGCAGATTATAAAAGCTAAGAGGAAATCACTGCCACTTTGGAAAACAGCTTGGCAGTTTCTTTCAAAGCTAAACATAATTTTAACATATGGCAATCACATTCCTTGGTATTTACTCAAATTAATTGAAGACACATAATTCACACAAAAACTCACACATGAATGCTTATAACAACTTTACACATCATTACCAAAACTGAGAAGTTACCAAGATGTCCTGCAGGGGTGAATGGACATACTATGGTAAACCCAGACAATGGAGTAGTATTCAGTGTTAAAAAGAAAACGAGACATAAAAACATAAGAAGGAAACTCAGAAGTACTGTATGAAGTGAAAGGCAATCTGAAAAGACTATCTACTTGATGATTCCAAGTATATAACATTCTGAAAAGGCAAAACTATAAAGACAGTAAAAAGATCAGTGATTGCCGGGGGTTAGGGGGATGGGATAAAGAAATAGGTGAAGCACAAACAAATTTCAGGGCACTGAAACTATTCTGTATGATACTATAATAATAGATATATGACTTACATATCAAAATCAGTAGAATGTACAGTACCAAAAGTGATTTATTTAATGTTAACTATGGATTTTGGAAGATGATGGTTCAATATAGGTTTATCACTTGTAACAAAAATTCCACTCTAATGGGGTGGGGTTGAGGGATATTGATGGAAAAGTAGACTAGGGGTGCAATGGCAGGGGATATAAAGGAGAGCTCTGTACATTCTGCTCAATTTTTCCATGAATCTAAAACTGCCTTAAAAAATAAGGTCTGTTATGACAAAAAAAGAAAGTGATTATACTATTCCTTGATATGCCCAATGATAATATCCTTTAGTCAAATTCTATGCATGTTCTAAGCAGGGAGAGAGGAAGGGAAGAAAAAAATGAGGAAGGAAAGGAGAGAGGGAGAAGGAACAGTAAATTAATGTAAGAAAAGAAAAAAGATCATGCCTTTGCACACTTTTTCTCCTGCCCAAATATGTATCGGCAAATGAATGGATAAACAAAATGTGGTATACTGTATACATAAAATTGAATATTATTCAGCCTCGAAAAGGAAGACAATTCTGGGTTTCCCTGGAGGCACAGGGGTTAAAGACAGTGCTATCAAGCCACTACAGCACAAGTTTTATCCCCTGCAGGCCAGGGAGCAACCCACATGGTGCAGCAGACCTGTATTTCAGTACATCTGCCTGTTCTGCTCCCCACTCACTGGTGAATCCTCTCACCACCTGCACCTCTGGCTTACACCCAGTTCTTGTATGCATAAGTAAATAAATATTTTTTAAAAAAAGGAAGACAATTCTGACATGTACAATGTAGATGAATCCTGAAGACATTTTGCTTAGTGAAATAAGTCACATACAAGAGAACACATATTGTATGATTCTGCTTGTAAGAAGTACCTAGAGTAGTCAAATTTGCAGAGAGAAAGTAGAATAGTGGAAAAGGTTAGTGGCTAATGGGAACAGCGTTGCAGTTTTGCAAGATGAAAAAGTTCTAAGGATGGATGGTAGTAATGGTTACACAACACTGTGAATGTACTTAATGCCAGTTAACTCTACATTTAAAATTATCATTTTTATATTTTACACTATAAATAAGACACTTTTTCTTCAGAGGTATTTCATTTCAAAGATGAAATGTTTCTCAGTATTACAAAAATGCTGACTTACAACATTCTAAATTTAACAAATAATCAAAGTTCTCTCTACCCTATCCGTGACATTTCATTTCATAAGTCTGAGTTGCTGGAAGGAAGTACTCACAGAGTACAGTGCTTGCAGAAATACTTACAGTTGCTTACTTATGCTTGCAGGTAATGAGTTTTTAATTCATGGCAGTGCTACTTCATTTGTGTGATAAAAATAATATTA